GCTACCAACAAGAGATACATCTTCATACCTGCCACAGTAAAACCTGAAGTCTCACTTAATGCTGCGTTAAAAAGCAAGAAAATTTCAAATTCTCGTTGACAAAAACATAGTTTAGCCAGCTTTATATTTAAAAATGTGATTATTTTATTATTAATACTGTAACACAAAACATAAGACACTTTTCTGTGATCTACAGTTTATTAAACTTTACAGTTATTTTTAAGTAAAGTCACACATACATATTTTTTATTATACTTTACTTATTCTCACAAGGTATTATGCATAACAGCCCAGAGAAGACATCACTGCCAGTCAAGGTTATCAATAATGTCTTCCAATACTACACGACTTTAATTTATTTTTGTAAAGTACATTTCAAAGACGTTCTGTCGTGTTAATAAGCGTTCATGTAGAAGTTCTAATTGACACCAGTTTCTCGAGTGATGAAACTCCTAAGACTTGCAACATTTGAGTACACGCCGGGATATAGTGGCTCTGCGCAGCCAACTCCCCAGGATACAAGTCCAGCCAGTACGCCATCGACAGCCAGAGGACCTCCGGAATCGCCTTGGCAGGCGTCCTTGCCTCCACCGGACACAGCAGCGCAGATCATGTTCTCAGTGACTCCACCGTAAGCAATGTACGCTTCATTACACTCTTCACGGGATACAATAGGAACCACTACCACTTGCAACGTGGTTGGCAGCGACGATGATCCTGAAGACAAGGTTCCCCAGCCGGTAACCACAGAATTGTGACCTGCGTAGGGCTCGGCAGCGGTCAGAGGTATTGGCTGAACACCGGGACCGAAGTCGAATGCGACAGACACCTTCAAAAATGCATAAACATCATAAGAAACTTTCCATGAGACATACCGCACGATATTATATACAGTAAAATGAGTTTTAATATTAATAGACATAGTACTGTCTGTCTGAGCGGAGAATTGACTCGACCATCAATCTGTGAGGTCATGTTGAATGCTGTCCTAAGACTAAGAAACTAAATACAACAAACTACTAAATTCTTAAATAAGAATGACACAGAACATTATGAAGCTACTAAACGGACTGAGAACTTAAGTCACACAATGTTTCAAAACTGCGTATTATAACGTCTCTGCGCCTTCGCAGATGGGTACTTCTGTTTGAAGATCAAGTCAATGTCCACTTAGACAGACAGACAGTAGTCAAAGAGTGAGGTTGTGAACAAGGAACAACTTACCCTGGCGACAGCTACGTCGAAGTCGATTGTGTAGTAATCGTAATCTGGGTTGGCAATGAGTTCAGCTGCTGGGTGGATGGAACCACCTGTACCCCTGATACTGCTTCCAGCACGGAATTGAGCATACGAAGGCGAAACTCTGTTGTCCAAAATTTTGTACATATATATATATACGTTAGATTTCCGGCGTTAAAATTGGTATAAATTTGAGAACGACGTATTAAAATTCGTTTAAAATAACAGAATAAACTACTGAAAATATTCGACTCTTCACGAAAATTAATTCTCTGAAATTAACTTCCAAATCTCCCAAATTGATCCGGCTACATTTTTCGCGCAGACTATAATTGTGTATCTCGAAAATATCAGTCAATTAAATTACATATTATTTATCTCATATTCCTAATGGTCTATGAAATGTTGAAGACCTATTATTATGTGCAGTTATTTGATATTATCTGTATTTGAGCAAAGGATGGTTATGTAAGAGTAACCTACAATTCACGTAGCGTTTCCTATGTCAATTTATTTTAGACTCAGACTGATATTTACTGTGTATTTAGTAAAACATTTAAGCACAAAATAAATTTATACACCGGTACTTACAATGTTCAGAAACGTTAAATAAATAATTAATTAAGCAAAATTTACTGAATAGACTTGGATAAAGCTTTAAACAAATCGAGAAATATGAATTATGAATATTCACTTTTCGTAATTAATCATTTTATTTTTAAAACACTATTTTAAACAGATATTGTTATCTTTGGAGTGCTTATCTTATCAACTTACCCATCAACACAATGAGCTGCTGTCACAACCCAAATAGCACTGATGATAGACGCGCCACACATGTGACTTCCAGAGTATTCGAAAGACAGCTGAGAAAATTATTAAATAATATAATCTTAGCATAAAAGAACAAAAACCTTACCCACACACACATACGATTAAGTGAATCTTATAATAGCGACATTTAAAATGTATCATGAGACGAAACTTATTACTCTGACTTCATTAATCACTGTTCACCGATATTTAACTCCGTTTAGTGCATTTTTTATAGAGTTGGCACATGTAGCCTTACCTGATACGGGTAGTCATTAATATCTGCATCTTCCCCACCAACAATTCGACCGTCAAGACGCGGACGTCTCAAGCGGGGGGCAGCTCCTGATAATAATAATAATTCTTGTTCGTAGCTTGTTACATATATATTTGATTATGATTACTTATCTTAGTAATTAATTTTCAAAAAGTTTTTTTTTTTTTTTGGATTTGTGTTTCAGTGATTTTAGCGCATTCAAAATTAATATTTTGGCTGAAATAATTAAAATTTTATTTAAGACACTGATTAAATAATGGCCACTGCAGATTCTAAAATTAGGAGTGCACACTTTCTCCTCCAGGATGAGGCACGTAGCGTCAGTTAGAGCGCTGAGGCATTTCACGTCAAACAGGTGGATAAAACATTACATTCTTTGAAAAATATCAGACGGTAAAACTACAGACACTGTAATATTTCAAGTTCTCATTGCGGCAATTATGAATATAACAGCGTTCTGGGATATTGCGTCGGGTATATATGTACCGACGTTTCAAAGGTGCTTACTGCCTCCATCATCAGTACGATTATTTCAGTAAGCACCTCTCATATGTCGTTCAACTTCTACGATACTATAAGAGGCAGTATGCAAGAAGGCTGCAACTGTTACTGGCACTCCAAACAACAAACACGTAAAGTGCGTAAGCTGTCGGATGCCAATTTCTACTCGTTTAACACACACACAACACGAGCTTAACAAATCCTCATCTTTGCTTCGAAACCTTAGAACTGAAGCTATGTTTATTACAATTATAATTCTTTATTAAATACGTACCAAAGCTGCAAGCAACTAGAGAAACAAGTACCAGAAGCCGAAGCATGTTTTCCCTTCAGTAAGAAAATCACTGTGACTTAACTACGTCTCTTCGCGTACCATATATAAGAGTTTGTGAAGGACATGTCCTATTCGCTACTGCCCACTCGAAGCGTTTATCTTGATAATATAGATTTATCTATCTACTTGCATTCGTTCTGATGGGAAAGTCCTCTTACTCAATAAATGCTGAACGAGAAGGCTTGGAAATTTCTAATTATCAGTACGAGTGATTGAATTTGTATATCGGGAGACTTGTAAAGTACGTTACGAAATTGAGGAATCTCACGTCGACGCTTCATGAGTTCTGACGTTGTGTGGACTTGTAGGTATTTATCAAAACCCAGAAAAAATAACTTTGACATTTTCAAGTAATTTCTTGAAGTGTAACTCCTTGAATTTTAGTTTAAAAGGCTATGACGTTTTATTAAATATTCATTCTGATTTATTCGTATTGATGCTGCACAGTGTTAACAGTGCAACAGTAAACTTTTCTACGTCTTTTACAAACATAAAAGCACCTCCATGCCTTAAAACTATTACTCAGTTTGAAAAGATTTAGGGTAAAAATTGTCGTAATCATGACCATTTATGTAGAACTGACGAAACAGAAAAAGTCATAGAAGAGGGCTTTAATCTCTTATCGTCTACATATATCTCGAGAGTATGTATATGTGCGTGTGTTTAAAGCAAGAGATGAGGAGTGTGTGTTTGTGTGCTACATATGACATGATTCAAAGCTTCTGTGAAAGCTCATGCCATGAAACACACCCACCTTGTAAACACATGCAGGTTGATACTGCGAGAGTTTTGCATGACAGGTGACAAACACCACTGATACTCAGAGATGAATACTGTGACAGAAAGCGTATTAAAGGGCAAAGTCCACAGTACATTCTACGAAATACCTGCACGCGTCAGCACACAAAGTAAGGTACATTGCGAAACTGAGCTTCTAATACCTTCTTAACGATACAATTTAATTGCAGTGTTTAATATTATTATTCAGTTTTCCCTCGGATAAACTTAGACCATCTGTTTTGTCCATGACAACTTTTGGATCCATAGAATATATATACGAGGTGCGATCGGAAAGTTTCCAGACTGCGCGTATAAAAACCCGTACACTTATCTCAGGTATTAAATTCATCCATCACCCTCGAAGTAGTTCCCCTGGGAGTGAACACAACGATCCCAGCGCCGCTGCCAAGCCTGGAAGAATCCCTGGAAATCTTTCTTTGTCAGCCTGTCAAGCACCATCTGAATTTAATACTTGAGATAAGTGTACGGGTTTTTATACGCGCAGTCTGGAAACCTTCCGATCGCACCTCGTATATGCATGCATGTAGAATACAGTGAATATAGTTTACTGAGTGTCAGTCGTTTAGCTCTAATAAATAAGATACCTCAAGTGGGACGCACTTACAAGGGATTTATCTAACTTTTCGAACGTATAAGGCAACAGTTTTATCACTGCCTGCACAGCGCGTGTTCGCTTGACAGTCATCATTGAAGAAATGCAGGTTCGGGTGAGGAAGGACATTTTCACATTCCATACTTCAACATTTTGAGATAAACCATTACTTGGAACGCCAGTCTTCAGTCGACCTTTTGCTGAAATAATAACTAAAATATTTAATATTATTTAGACGTGCTTCGGGCTTCAAAGAATTAAAATGAGTTGTCGATCGAACTTCATTTCGGTTTGTATCGAGCAATAACTAACTAAAATTTAATTTAAGGGATAAGACAACATTAATAAGTTTAAAAATGTTTAAATTACCTTTTCATGACAAACATCTTAAAACACAAACCTTATAACACGAAACGTGTTTAGATGTTGTATACAAAAACACATCATTTTACATTTCATGCAACCGACAGACACTAAAATAAAAGATTTTCAATAGCAAGAAATAACACGCCAATTTCAAATTGTAAGCACTTCGCAGACATCGATATTTAATATAATAAAATTAACTCTTATATAACAACTTGCTTATAAGTTTTGCCCTTACTTACCTCCTGTCACGTCCAAAATCAAACCTCTGTGGTTTGGGGCGTATTCAGTCAATTTAACGGACCGTAGTAAATATTATAAAATATTATAAACTAATTTCAAAGATTCCTGTAACGAAGCCTTGGAGCTATGTGGTAAATATTGCAACCACGACATAACCAGTCGTCAGCGTAATCTAGGTTAACAAAACTGATTACGTGATAGAGTCAGTGGGTAAGGTAGCGACCTGTTTGCAAATCCCAGAGGTCACTTATGCGACGGTACGTGACCTGCATTGCTCATTATTTTATGACATTCTGGCACTGTTCTCAAGTGTACTTGCGTATTAGTGTCTAACTTGTCACTGCGACATCATCGAACCACGATTAGCACACTAGTGTCTCAGAACGATCATGAACAAGTTAACCCTGCCCGAATATTAATTATAAGACATTAAACAGGCTATTGGAAAATGAATCCATGCTTCCGCCACGCCGTTACTGACTAAAGATGAAGATAATGTGTTAGGGCTGATAAAAGATGAGAAATTGGTGTAACACGGGATTGAGTATGTGGTTTGGTTGTAAGGCTGAACGCGGGGGAACGGGGGAGGTTTTTGTTAATAAATGAATCCCCGATTGGAAACGGTCCAAATACAGAGATGAGAGTGGGTGGAAGGGGGCATGGAGGGTGGGGTTGGATGAGGAGAGAAAGAGGGTGTCGCTGGTTGAGTTTTTGGGTCGATTGAGCGATAAGCTAGGCTGGGAAATATAGTCGTAGGCAGGGCAGGCGTATTTTAAAGATGACCCTGGCTAAGCCTTACTATTAGAATACAAGCAATTTCCCTTCGAGGATCACTCGAGTCAGCGATGAACCTGAGTCTAGCCTGTGGTCTGTAGTGGTTACCACTGAATGTAATCTGTAAATAATGTCGACAGATGAGTCCCTTTATAACTGAACTAACTTCGAATGGGAGAGAAGGCATATGTTGGTATCCCAGAGTATTCAGTCTGGAACTTTACATATTAGTTACACAGAATTATCGAAGTTTGTAGTGTGATTATAACTCATGTAAAAAAAATTATACGGATTATTGAACCATTATTAATATAAACAAACTAATGATATTTCAGAATATAACTTAAATTTTGTGGTGTCTTAATACAAAGAGTGAGCCAGTTTTAAGAAATTATAACTCTGAGATTAACTCTTGGCAGTCATGTTGGACAATGAAAATGCAATGTAAAACCGAACTTGAAGTTCGGTCCAACAGCGCTCTGTTTCAGAATGGTAGAATAATCTACAGTAAGGCAGCAACAATTCCTAATTCTCAATTAAATACATTAATGCCTGTGTTTGGTGGATATTAATCCTGCTAACAAAAGCATTCCATTTCACATTTTACTTAATATGACAGTCACTTAGATGGTCAGTAACTTCTTCGTCTTTTACACAATCCCAAAATTCATTTCCTTTTTTCATAAGGTCTCAGTCTTAGCAGGTTTAACCCAATTAATACTTCACACCTGTATTAAGATCTATTTTAATATTATATTCCAATATGTTGCTATATCTCCGAACTGGTATCTTCTCTTCATTTTTCACAATAAAATTCTGTATGTATTTACCATCTCTTTCATTTCTGCTACACGTTCCGCCCATCTCATAAATGATTTGATCACTCTAATAATAATTTAATACGAATTATAAAAACTCGATATGTAATTTTCTCCATCCTTGTGTTATTTCTTCTGTCTTGTTTCCATATATTCTCCTCAGTAGTTTATTCTCCATTTTAATTAATTTTGTATTCCACAAGCATACAAGTCTCTAAGCAATTTCCTCGAAACGCAGAGAAGGCAATTCTGGGGGAAAGCCATAAACAACTGTCAGTGTGGAGGCATGATAATTCCTTCGTTCTTGTTAGTAACCAAATGCTGTAACAATGAGTTCTCTTGTGTTCCGCTACAAGCCATAATTAGATAAGCAATGAGAGTAGGCCTATACTACAGTACATCGCCATATTTCCTGTAGCTTCATGGACTTAAATGTTGTTTAAAATCGAGCATGGACGATTCCATGCAGTGATTCTTGACGGTATGTCAATAGCGTTATAGTAAGACAGCACTAACAGAATAAGATATAATTTCGTGACATTGGCATAATAATGAATTGTTTAAAATGTGCGAAAAATCTTTTAAAGAAAATTTAATAAAAATAAAATCTGCAGAACGCCATAAATTTCATACAATAAACTACTGAACTGTATAATTATCCACACACATTTTCCGCTGAAAAATGTGCATTATTTCATTAAATTTATTTCAAAATTAATATAAAGTTTTATGATCGCCCAAGTCGTATTTAATAAAAATAATAACGATACTCTTCGTGTGGCATTAAAAAAACATGCGTTTATATGACGATCGTCTTTGTCCAGGTGTAGATAATGGGCTTTAAATTTAATGGACATGAATTACTCCATGGCAGAAATAAAACAGGAAGTTGGGCAACGCTTTCAACAGAGCATATTTAATGAGTATTATTATATTAGCGATTTTCTCGAAAATCATCTAGTTATAAACCGCTCGTCACGGGTGACTTAACGAAGACCGGTGGAGAATGCATTATCAGCATCAGTCTAAATGCATTAAAATTGTAATAAATAAATCATTTCAGACAGGCCTTTATTCCCTCACAATCAGCCTGAAACTACAGCCGATTTACCGGCAAGCACTACAAAATCTGAAACGTCATTACAGTGAAATGAACTCAATAAAAGGGAATTGAGGTCATCAATTTATCAAACATTGTGAACAGTTTACTTGTGACATATACGACAGGTCCTTCAGTGCAGAGTTTCTTTCCACACAAAGCAATGGATAAGTGGAATTATGCAATCAGGTAAATACATTAAAATAACGTGATATTTAGGACGAACAGATTATTGTAGGTGACTAGTAAATTTATTATAGTAATTGTTACTGCATCTGTGTAGACATAAATCAATCAGTCGCATGATACTTTTGACAGGCCTCTATAACCTGAATCCTGTGGTTAACTACCATTTTAACTTTAGATT